TGAATGCTGCAACTAAGACCTGGCACAGCCAAATAAATGTGAAAATATTAAAACAAAGAATGCACTAACAAAGGTTGTGTTTAGGGAGAGTTGTCCAATAGTCTCTCTCTTCTGTGTCCCTGCGTCCACCATCCAGCTTCCACTAGATGTCTTGTTTTTTTCAGACTGGCTTGACAACTGCTTTTCCATCAACTCTCGGTCCTCTGAGACCCTGCAGAGCCTCTTGTGCACCCTGTGAGTCACAGAGCAGAGCTCTTGGGAACGACTTCCACACCCGGGCTTCTGGGTTTCTGACTCACATGAAGTCAGGCGAATGGCTCTGGGGTATGAGAAACAGACACTGCATCTGGGGGTGGATATTCCACAGAAGCCCTAAAGTGTCCCTAGAGAGACAAGTTACCCAGCTCCCTGTTGCACCCGCGCACTGGGAGTAGCTATGCAGATATGGAAGGCAGGTCCTGGACACACTGCCTGGTTGTTCTAAAGAAAGTCCAAGCAATGCATGGTAGACAGACAGATCCCTTGGGACAGTCTGTGCTGCCCCAGAACAGGACAGGGCCTGGCTGGGAATGGGAGGGGGAGCCGGGGTGGTGATGTCATTCATTAAGTCTCCGTCTGGCAACTAAGCAATGGAGGCGCTTCCTACTCACTCACACTGTGAGCGGCCCTGGTTTTCCTAAGTGGGCAACAATGACCTCGTTCACAATGCAGCTTTGTAAGCAGTCAGACCCCTCCCAGGCAAAGCCCACTCCGGAAAACCCTTGATTTCATTTCTTTGTGTGCATACAGAGGACACACGGAGCCACTCTTGCAGGACACAAGAATATACACAGAAAAGAAAAAAAAAAGAATATACAAAGGACTTCCCTGGTGGTCCAGTGGTTAAGAACCCGCCTGCCAGTGCCCAGGATGAACCCAGGAAGAACCCACATGCTGCGGGGCAACTAAGACTGTGCCCACAAATACTGAAGCCTGGATGCCCTAGAGCTGGTGTTCTGGAACAAGAGAAGCCACTACAATGAGAGGCTCTCGCACTGCAAATGAGAGCAGCCCCCAGTCACTGAAACTAAAGAACACCCACATGCAGCAAGGAAGACCTGGTGCAGCCAAAAATTTTAAATTAAAAAAAAAAACTGCACACAGAGACATCCAGATGGATAGACACGGACATAGGAAGATGAAACATACACACACATACACGCAGGGGCACAGGCATACAAACACATCAAAGTTAAAGAAGGTTAGTGCTGGAGAGAATCTTAAAAGTCACTTAAGGAATGTAACTCCTTCGTTTTACAGAAAAGGAATCTGCAGAGTGGAGAAGGGAAGTGGAAGCTTAAGATCCCACGGCTTGTTCCCGCTGTGCCTCTCCTGCCATCTCCAGAACGCTGACCTTTGCCTATGAGCTCAGCAGGACTGCTGGGCTTTGTTTGGGATCTGGCTCCCTGCACTGTGGTCAGAGAGCTGCGGTGATCAGGAGGCTCACTTTGTGCGGGTTCCTGTCTGTGGATGGTTGTCTTTCCCTAAATGATCACAACACCTCCCATTCCTGTGCTCTCCTTACCGTGTGACTGCAACACCCCTCCCGCCAATTGTGGGATTTCAGTTCCCTCCCCTCCAGCTGGGGCCCGGGGCTCCAGTCAGCGGAGTAGAGCAGAAGTGATGCTACGGGAACGTCCCTGGTGGTCCAGTGGATGAGACTGCGTGCTCCCAACGCAGGGGGCCCGGGGTTCAGTCCCCAGTTGGAGAACTAAGATCCCACATACAAAGCCCATGTGCCACAACTTCTGAGCCTTCTGAGTCTCGTGCACCACAACTGGAGAAGCCTACACACCACAACACAGAGCTCGCACACTGCGAGGAAGACCCAGCTCAGCCAAAATAAAAAAGTCTTTTAAAAAAAGAAGTGATGCCATGCAACTTCTTAGTCTAGGTCACAAAGACATAACACCTTCTGCTTCTCTTACTCTTCTCTCTCTCTCAACACTCAGGCTGGAGACCCAGCCACCATGTTTAGAGATATAGCCCAAACTAGCCCACCAGCAGAGACCACGTGGAGAGGAACAGAGGCTCGCAGCTGACAGCAAGCAGCAGCTGCCAGACAGGTGAGTAAGCAGCCTTCAGATGGTTCCATCTCCAGACACTGCAGAGACAGACAAGCTGCCCTCCTGGGCCTTGTTTGAAATTCTAACCCACAGTAGCTATGAACACAATAAACGGTTCTTTTACTTCACTGAATTTTGAAGTAATCTATAACATTGCCATAGTATCTGCAATACCATCTCTTAGGAATTATAGCCTTGTTGTCAAATGCTGAAAATAGTTGCCTTACATATTTTGCCCTGTGTTACTGCTCTATGGGACTAGTCACCATGCCAGGACTTTAATTTGAAGCTCTGTTTCCCTGGTGGCTCAGATGGTAAATAATCTGCCTGCAATGCTGGAAACCTGGGTTTGATCCCTGGGTCAGGAAGATCCCCTGGAGAAGGGAGTGGCAACCCACTCCATGTTCTTGCCTGGATAGAGGAGCCTAGTATAGAGAAGCCTGGCAGGCTACAGTCCAGGGGGTCACAACTTTCTAAGATAACACCAACAAGAACAACATTGAGAGCAATTTTCTTTGATAGACTGTTTTCTACATACTAGGCACCGTGCTGAGCCTAGAACGCATTTCACATTATCTCATGAAACCACACCAAAATCTTGTGGAATAGGCATTACTAACCCATATTACAGAAAAGAAAACTGAGGCTTATAGAGTTTAAATAATTTACCTGTAGGTTTTTGTACACAGATCTGTCTGACACTGAAGCCCATGCAATTGATCATATACAGAAACACATATATACATACCAACATGACACAATTTGCATATATATTTATGCTTATAGGGACCACACCTATTGCACATTTCACGAGTTCTTCATGCTTTTAAAAATATCTCTTGTTCTCAGAGGTAACAAAAAAATCTCCTTCCTTCAATTATGTTAAATAGACGGAAAGAGACTCAGTCTGCTAGATATTATGTTTCCCAAGCACACCCGAAGATGAAATTCTCTCCATCTGGGGCCACCACAAGCATGGGCGGCAGAGATATGGTCTCTATTCTTCTGCCAAGGATTGTCTGGGACCTGGACTTGGGAGGAGGTGGGGTGGACTCTTAACAAGACTTGGCTTGGTCCACAGAAGCCTTCTCCTGGGGCCAGAAGGACTCTGCACTTGATGTTGTAAGACACTAAAGTCAGAGAAACAAAGTGATTCTCGAATGTGTAAAAGTAGAGAGCATAGAGCAAGAGATCAGGGCTTCGAAGGGGAGGGAGTGAAGGCGTTGGGGGGAGGACCCTCTTGGAAGCAGGGCCATCTCCAAATATTTCAGAGCAGTGATGAGAGCCGGCTGTGGAAGGCAGAGCGGTGCAGAGGTGGCCCTCCTCATTCTGCAGGGTTCTTACATTTGGAGATTCTCCCTCTTCTGGGGGAGGGGAGTGGGGATACTGAGAAGCTTGCATCTGGCAGTTTCAGGGCAGGAATGATGCTATTAGAGGAGTAAGAGTCTCAGGGCAGAGTGCTGGACTCAGTCATTTAAAACTAACTTGGATCCCTACTCCTTAAAATAGCAGAGACTTCAGTTCTAATCCAGAGAAGAGATAAAAAACACGGAGATGCTTCTATGGGGAAGAAAGAAATGAAACTGGGATATATTATTACAATCACCTTTATCTAGACGATAGACGCCCCCAATTCATCTCTACTTCCACTTCACAGAAAGTTCCCCTTGTGCAACCTACACCAAGCAGTTGAGTCCAGGGGAGGAAAATGAGATGGGAAATCTTTAAGGGTCACTTCCACCTCCCCACCCACCTTTCTAAGGTTCAGTCCTGAAACATTGCTTAAAGATCCTTAGAAACAACTCAAAGAGTATGCTACTCTTGGGGCTTCCCTGGTGGCTCAGGGAATCTGAGGAATCTGCCCGTCAAGGCAGGAGAGATGGGTTCCATCACTGCTCCAGGAAGATCCCTCATGCATGGGAACAACTAAAGCCCCTGCGCCACGACTGAGCCTGAGCTCTAGAGCCTGGGAACCGCGCAATTACTGAAGTCCTTCGCATCCCTCCGCTCTCTAGATCCTGTACTCAGCAACAGGAGAAGCCAAGGCAATGAGGAGAAGCCGGCACACGACATCGAGAGCGCAGCCCCGCTCCCCAAAACTAGAGAAAAGCCCGGCTAGGCAAGGAAAACCCAGGGAAAGAAGACCCAGCCAAAAACAAATGAAAATTATTATTATTATTTTTAAAAAGAATATGCTACTTTGGGGGATTCCGCCATGGTCCAGTGGTTAGGACTCCATGCTTTCACTGTCAAGGGCTGAGGTTGAGCCCTTAGTTGAAGAACTTAGAATGCACATGCCGGGCAAAAAAAAAAAAAGAGTGTGCTACTTTTACCCATTTTACAGATGGGAAACTAGTTCTGAGCTTGGGCGCTCACTTGCCTCAGCTGGTCAGCGGCAGCACCAGCCCAAGGAGGCAGAGCTCTTCCCCGTGCCCCCCGTCGGGGCCAGCCAGCGGTACCCTCTCCCCACCAATCTGGGAGTCTCAGGAGCGTCTGATCCGGGAGGGCTCTGGGCGTCGGAGGAATGAACTGCTAAGTCTCCCCAGCCTAGGCAGTGAGGGACAGTGGCTGCGCTCCAAACTAGGGTGTGGGAGTCCCCTCCCCCTCAGTTCTTGCCTGTCTATCCCATTTTATCGCTGACCCCTTCCCCGTGTCCTGGGAACCCGGTGCGGATCCGCGTGTGCGTGTGGTTCCAGCCCCGGCTTGGGGGCTTGGGATGGGGTGGGAAGGAAGAGAATGCTGCCCCCGGCTCTTCGCGTGCAGGTGTGAAGGGTGCGGAGGACAAGGGAGGGTCACGCCGACGGTCAGCGCGGATGGGACGGCTGGGTGGCCTGACTGCAAGTTCGGGCCGGTCCCCAGCGCGCGGACCCTCTCCGTCCGGCTCTCACCGCGTACCTCCGCCTCCCGGCGCAGCTCCCGGCCTACGCGCTGGGCGTCCAGGCCGCCCCACAGCAGCAGCGGCAGTACGCGGAGCAGCAGGGCGACCCGCGCGGCCATGTAGCCGCCGCCCCTGCGCGGGGCACCGGGCGCGGGGCAGCCGGCCGTCGGTCCGCCGCGCCCCGGCCCCGGCGGCCGCTCCAGCGCTGCGCCGGCCCAGTGCCGAGGGGAAAGTCGCAGGGCCTCGCCTGTTTCCCGGCTCCGAGTGCCGGGCGGTTCCTCCGCAGCGCTTCGTCGCGAGCCGGCTTCTAGGTCGTCCAGCCCTGCAGTGCCTGCCCACGGATCCGAGCGAGGGCTCCGGACCTGGAGGCGAGGGAGTGGGGAAGACGGGGCGGGACCCCGGCACTCCGGCCCCACCCACCCGGCTCGCCTCCTGGAACGCGCCGTTGTGTTAACAGGCGCCTCTTCCGCAGGCGGCGTGGCCTCGCCCCGCGCGGATCCGGATCTCTCTGCGGAGAGCAGGGGAGGAAACGTCTTCTCCTGGCGCTTGTGGCTACCTAAGACTTCGAGGAAGAGGAATTCTGGCCTACTCGAGGGTCATCGATTGTTTCAGCCGGGCCGACGGGGACGGAGGCCCTGGGATGTGAGAGAAGGAGCCCTGGACTGGGGTCCGTTCAGTTCAGTCGCTCAGTCGTGTCCGACTCTTTGTGACTCCAGCACGCCAGGCCTCCCTGTCCATCACCAGCTCCCGGAGTTTAAGACTTGAATTTGAGCTCCAGATGGGAATCCTGCCTCAGCCACCACCAGCTCGCTGTGTGGTCTTGGGCAAGTCACGCACCCTCTCTGAACCTAGCAGTAAATGAAGACAATAAGAATAGCGACCTCATGTGATAATAGGGAGCATTTAATGAGAGAACAATGCCCGTAGATAACGGAGCAGCGTACCTAGCGCCATGAAGTCCACGTTTTATAAACGGTAGGCTGCAGCTTATGACTTTTTGACTGCAGGGGTCCGTTTTCTCTTTAGTAAGATGAGCATGAATGCTATTTAGTTTGCAAAGTCGCTTGAAGATCGAGAAAATGTGTAAAATGCCTAGCTGAATCTATCCCACACAATTGCAGTAAGGGTTGAGAGATGATTTACGTGAGAAGCTTAGTCAAACTCGTAGTAAGCCAAAGTAAACTCTTTTTATTATCTGCCTTAGTGACTGCGGACAGGTTACTGTCTCTCTTCCAGGCTCAGTTTGCTAACGTGTAAAAAAAAAAAAAAATGTCTAAAAGCTGTGGTTTTTCCAATAGTCATGTATGGATGTGAGAGTTGGACCGTAAAGAAGGCTGAGCGCGGAAGAATTAATGCGTTTGAATTGTCAGTTCAGTCAGTTCAGTCGCTCAGTCGTGTCCAACTCTTTCCGACCCCATGAATCACAGCTGCCAGGCCTCCCTGTCCATCACCAACTCCCAGAGTCTACCCAAACCCATGAACTGTGGTGTTGGAGAAAACTCTTGGGAGTCCCTTGGACTGCAAGGAAATCCAAGCAGTCCATGCTAAAGGAAATCAGTCCTGAATATTCATTGGAAGGACTGAGGCTCCAATACTTTGGCCACCTAAAGCTAAGAACTGACTCACTGGAATGGACCCTGATGCTGGGAAGGATTGAAGGCAGGAGGAGACGACAGAGGACGAGATGGTTGGATGGCATCACCGACTCGATGGACATGAGTTTGAGCAAGCTTCGGGAGATGGTGAAGGACAGGGAAGCCTGGTATGTTGCAGTCCACGGGGTCCCAAAGAGTCGGACATGACTGAGCGACTGAACTGAACTGAAAAAGCAAATGGTACAATGATACCCACCACTGGGGGTCGATGTGGGGTTTAGATGAGTTAATGTGTGTAAAGGTAATTTGAAATCTATTAAGATCTAAGCAAATGAAACGCAGTGTTCTTATCCTAAGCTCGAGGGATTCAGTAGCACACAAGATACTTTTGTATCGTTTAGAAAAAGGTGGGGGGTGGGGTTTCCCTGGTGGCTCAGACGGTAAAGAATCTGCCTGCAATGCAGGAGACTCAGGTTTGATCCCTGGGTTGGGAAGATCCCGTGAAGGGAATGGCTACCCACTCCAGTAAAAATTCTTGCTTGGAGAATTCCATGGACAGAGGAGTCTAGCAAGCTACGGTCCAGGCAATTACAAAGAGTTGGACACGACTGAGCAACTAACACTTTGAATTTAGAAAAAGAGGCCACTTGGATGGAAGAATTCTTGAATTTCCTTCAGTAGACTTAGAAACAGGAGTTCTTGTGGGCGGACTATTTGGAGATTGGCCCCGCCCACCTCCCAACCAGCCAATGAAGAAGGGGCATTGATTCTGGGCGAACCAATTAGAAGCAAGAGTTCCTCTGGGTAGATAGGTAAGAAAAAAGCGCCCTTCAATGGTTCACAGTTCCGTGAGAGGGCCCTGCGGGGCAAAGAATTGAGGGTGGATTTCTTTGTAAATTCATGTTTACTCTTGGCCGGTGCCCTTGTGCACATCTGTAGGGAGCATATCTACCTGGAACGGAGATGGTGGACAAAGGCCTGGGTCTTACCCTCAGAGAGCAGGCAGCCTGAAGCCAATGTTCTCTGCTAAGGAATGAACAGAGACCTGATTCAGGCCGAGTCCTGGGGTGAACCTGGGGGAGGAAGATTCTGAAAGGTTCAGAATTTAGAAGGGTTGCTACATCCAGAAGGGTAGCTTGACTATCAGATTAACAAGTCATTTTTTGTTTCTTTTTTTAAATATTTATTTTTAATAGAAGGATAATTGCTTTACAATATTGTATTGGTTTCTGCCATACATTAATATGAATCGGCCATAGGTATATATGTCCCCTCCCTCTTAAACCTCCCTGCAACCTCCCATCCCATCCTATTCCTCTAGGTTGTCACAGAGCATCAGTTTGAGCTCCCTCAGTCATATAACAAATTCCCACTAGCTACCTATTTTACATATCGTAATGTATATGTTTCCATGCTACTTTCTCTGTTCGTCTCACCCTCACCTTCCTCCATTGTGTCCACAAGTCTTTTCTCTGTCTACATCTTCAGTGCTGCCCTGAAAATGGATTCATTAGTACCATTGTTCTAGATTCCATATGTGTCTGTGTGTATATACATACGATATTTGAACGTTTCCCCGGTGGCTCATCGGTAAAGAAACAGCCTACAATGTAGGAGATGGGGTTTTGATCCGTGGGTCAGGAAGATCCCCTGGAGAAGGAAGTGGCAACCTGCTTCAGTATTCTTGCTTGGGAAATGCTATGGACAGAGGAGCTTGGTGGGCTAGAGTCCATGGGGTCACAAAAGTGTTGGACAGGACTAAGTGACTAAACAAAAACCACAGTGATGTGTCAATGCAATATTTGGGACATATTTATACTTAAAAAGTATTTGTCACTTATCTGAAATTCAGGTTTAACTGGGTGTCCTCTATTTTATCTGACAATCCTAGAGAGTGTGTGGGAGGCAGTGTCAGAAGGTTGCAGTTATGACATGGCATGTGGTGCCCTTGACCAACAGATGGACTTTGATAGACCAGATGTGGCTTTGCTTTGGGGCAAGAAGCTCTGAGGAGCACCAGTTGGTAAGGACACCAAGGGCCCAGCTGGAGTCAACACCAGGTTTGCCAATTCTTTCTCCAGGCAGAATGTTTTCCATCCCTTCCTCCAGCACATCCTTAGGGTCCTCCATTCAGCTGCACTGGCAGGAGAGGGGAAGGCAGGAAGCAGCCGTTCTCCGGAGGCTGAAGGTCTGGAAGGAGACAGGCTCAGCCACATGGAGAGCTGACTCTGCTTCCTCTGCATCCCAGGTTAGCCTTGTCCAGAGACCTGAATACTAGCACCACTTCTGCATCTGGAAGTTGACTTCCTCTGCTTTCCTTTGTGTCCCTTAAAAATTTTTTTAAAAATATTTTTACTTATCTGGCTGTGCCAGGTCTTAGTTGTCGCATGTGGGATCTTCTATCTTTGTTGTGGCACGTGGGATCTTTAGATGTGGCATTTGAACTCTAGTTGTGGCATGTGGATCTAGTTCCCCCGACCAGGGATTGAACATGGGCCCCCTGCATTGGGAGCATGGAGTCTTAGCCACTGGATCACCAGGGAAATCTCTCCCTTGGTGTCCTAGGTTGGATTGTTTCATCTCATCCTCACCTCTCCCCACTCCACTTCTGCTTGTGGTCACTTGGAGATGCCATCAGACCTGGCAATGTTTGCAAGAGTTTGTGCAGAAGCTTCATTCCACCCCTACCCCCACATCCACCTGGGTGTCAACCATGCCTTTGTGTGGGATATGTCTGTTTCCCAGAAAGACACTGTGTTAGTAGCTGGGTAGCAGGAAGTTCAATTCCCCATCTGCCTCTGAAGCTTGCTCATAGATCTTGGAGCACCAAATTCTGTGATCTTTAGGAATCCAGGGGCATATACACCTCCATAATGGACTTGCTATATGTTTTTACTTTCCAGGACACATCTTGAGGACACTTTGGATGGTATGAAGGAGGGTGGTTTGCCATGTGAGAGGGAGACTGAGGGGGAAAGGAAAATGAGAAAGGCAGGGCAGTTTATTGGAAAGAGAGTATCCACAGCAAGGGTATCAGAAGAGTGATGGCAGGAGAATGGCTTTGGAACGGGAATCCTTAAAGCATGAACCAAAATCATCCAAAATAATACTCTGGTGACAAGGCCATTTATTTATCCAATACCATTATTTCTTCCTCTGGTGGGAGTGGGGGTGGAGGTGGGAAGGAGTATTTGTAACAAATAATAATGGCTAATGCTTGCTGAGAAATTAACATGTACCATGTATGTGCTATGTGCCTTACATAAATCATCTTATTGTATCTTTTCAGCTTCCTTATGACATAGCTACTCACACAAGCATCTTTATTTTACAGATGAGGAAGATGAGACACAGAGAGATTATACCACTTGTCCACGATCACAAATCTAACAATGGAGCCAGGGTTCAAACCTGCATAATATAGCTCCAGATCTTGGGCCCTAAACACTATATTATCCTGCCTCAAGTTCAAATTTATAAAATGGAACTCGTGGGAATTCCCTGGCAGTCCAGTGGTTAGTTCAATTTCAAAGGGCACAGTTTGATCTCTGGTCAGGGAACAAAG